GATGCCCTTAAAAACTAAGCAGGTGTATGACACCTGAGATAATATTTAGTCTAGAAGTCCTATAGATATCAACACTTAACTGGAGATCCACATAGGAAAAAAAAAAAAAAACCTCTGCAAGAACAGCTCCAGCTTCTGCAGAAACAAACACACTGGAGGGCAAAGCAAACCCGGACAAACTGCATAAGCACAGCTTCTGTAAGCTTATTTTTAGCCTAGGGTTTTTTTTTAACAAGAAAAAAACCAAGTGTGCTACGCAAATAGTTTTAAAGGAGCTGACAGCACACAGGAACTACCTTGAACTACTCCCATGCAGTACTCAGCAACCAGAAAACCAAACCAGAAAGAAAATTAGGTTACCCTATAAATCTACTTCATCCGTTTTTGGTGTTCATATCCCCCATACCAGTCAGTCACCCCTAAAAAATGGCTGGGGTAGAAGAAGGCAGGAGGCAGAAAAACCAGAATACTCAACAGGATGACTTAACAGAAGACTTTGTTTTTCAGCTTGGAGCATAAGCACAGCTTCTGTAAGCTTATTTTTAGCCTAGGGTTTTTTTTTAACAAGAAAAAAACCAAGTGTGCTACGCAAATAGTTTTAAAGGAGCTGACAGCACACAGGAACTACCTTGAACTACTCCCATGCAGTACTCAGCAACCAGAAAACCAAACCAGAAAGAAAATTAGGTTACCCTATAAATCTACTTCATCCGTTTTTGGTGTCCATATCCCCCATACCAGTCAGTCACCCCTAAAAAATGGCTGGGGTAGAAGAAGGCAGGAGGCAGAAAAACCAGAATACTCAACAGGGTGACTTAACAGAAGACTATGTTTTTCAGCTTGGAAAAGAGATATTTGACAGAAGAAAAAAAAAAAGATAGATATCTATAAATTCACAAAAGACATACAAACTGCAAACAGAAATGACTGCTTACTAATTCTCACTAAAGTCCTGAACAGCTTGCAATAAAAGTCATCAAGAAATCAAGAATAATCTCCTTTTCAAAAAAGGAAGGGTTATTTTCTTTCATCAAGACTTTTAAACTGTAAAATTCTCTTCCCATAGAACACCTTCAAAGCCAAAAGTATAACAGATTTTAAGAAGTGAATTAGAGCTTTCAGGAATTTTATACATAAATTGCTATGCAACACAGTTCAAATGCAGCCTCTTTATCAAGTGCCTAAATTGCTGATTGCTGTGGGAAAGAAGGATACATTCAAGGCTTTTACAGTCTGAGATCATGAGCTTCATTTCTGGAAAAAAAAGATATGTGGATCTTCATGTGAAAGTCTGTGCTGCAGTCAGGCTGAAGAAACAGATCATTCTTTCTCCACAGCCCAACATGCAGAACAGTCACTACCCTGACGTCACAGCATTCCTCCAAATGCACATTGCAGAGTTCACCACTCATCCACTATTCCAGGACAAAATACAACACTGAGATACAAAACCACTTCTCATTAGCTCTAGAAGCAATTCACAGACAGTGAAAATGCATCTTCTTGACAGATAAAGCAATCCTAGAAGTCATAAATACTGGAGAATGCTATTGATTGGTTCCAATGCTTCAATAAATTTAGTCCAAAAACTGATTACATAAAGCAAACAGTGTTTTCTAAGTGTAATTACTTGGCAACTGAACAGATCTGCAGTGACTGAATACATTGCAAGAGATGGTCAGCAAACCAGCTGAGTACTGCTTACCAAGACCTTCCCTCCCAGAAGCAGAACACAAAAGCGACTGCCACCTAGGAGAGCCAATACTGCTGCCATACTCAGCACCCCTTCCTACACTGTCCTACAGCTGCAATCACTAAAACAGAAGAAAAAGAACTCACATGAGCTGTTTGCTGTCTTGCTTGTTCCTGGGTGCACAGTCTGGTGAGTTTTCTTCAGTTCATGTACACTTCTTATTTCTACACAACCTTCCCCCAGTGGCAGGGTTTGTACCTGTGACTCTAAACCCAGCACAGAAGCTGAGCACCCACAGTACCTTTAGCACAAATATACACACTCCACTCCAACATTTGTGCTAGACACAAGAGTATTCTACTGCTGGAGTCACTACATACCTTTTGCTGGTCTTCCTACTAGGCTTCTGTGTCACAGTTTTTTCTCTGAAAAATCTTTATTCATGAATGTGCTGCATCCCCACACTCTGTTCAGTTATCACTTTTTCCCTTTTTGACATCTAAAGTGACCAAAAAAAGTGTTCATGCTAGATGTGATACAGAAAATATGCGGGCTGGGGTGGCAAAGAAGAAGCAAAGGAGAGAAGGTAAAGTGGAAAATTCTCACTCATTTTATCATTTAGAAGAAGGTGCCAAGAGTAGGTAGCCAAAAATGAGGTCAGAGGACTAATTTCTAGACAGTCTATCCCTTTTCAATTCCTGTTCTTCAAACAATACTTTTTAAAAAGCATGCCTTGCTTATTTAAAAAGAAGCACTCCAATAATGTGTTCTTTGAATTTTTATTTTTTTTTAAACAGACCAGTTTCTTCCATATCAGTTGCAACAGCATACACTTAAGGTGTGAACAGCAGGACTTTGCAATGTATTCCAAAAAGCTATTAAAGTATTCCCAGTCCGAATTCTTGCCCTAAAAACACTGTTGCATTATCACAGTGTAAAACATGCTCCTTCAAAAGACTGAAATTAAAGCTGAATACCTTAAACTATAAGCAGTTTTATATAAAACTGCTAGAAAGAAACAGGAATTTTGGTGAAGACAGCAAAACACGCTTGTCCACTAGATATAAATTGCAAAATCGCTACAAACATGAAAGAATAGACTTCTAGACTCATGTCCTATCAGTTTTATAGAATCAAGTAAATCCCTAAGTAGCATCATACTACAGTACATAACAATCTGGTGGGTGCCACTGCCTTTAGTAAGAGCTCTCACCCTGACAAATGAAATATCTGACTGAAGTACAACATACATGGATAACTGTAACTAAACTGAGCAGAACAGATCATGCTTGTTTGTTTGAAATAAATTATTTAAAAATGCCCCAAAATTCCTACACAGCTACTTGCAGGCAGTTTGGAGAAGAACTGTGTGTAGTGCTACAAGTCTGCTCACTGCTTCCAAGGTACTGTAAAACTGCTCCAGACACCAGAAGAGCCTTGGGATTTGATCAGTAAGTTCTACATGCTGGACATTTACACACAGATGGATCATACCCTAAGTCTAGCATCAACATTTAGAGTCACAGATCTAAGCTGTGCACAGAATACAGAATGAAATTCTGTGTTACACAAGCCATAAATTTAAGCCTGTACTTCCTTTCTCCAAGTCCACAACTTCTTGCTGAATTAAGACTGAACTTTAAATGTACCATCATTTCATTAATTACAGAAACTAAATCTAAATATCTTAAATCTCTACCAGCATTGTACATCAAAGCAGATGTATCACACAACCTGCCTCTTCATCTGACCTGCCCAAACTTCTCCAGAGTATCAAAGTCTTTAGACAAACCACCCAAAGCAACACTATCCATGCTGCCTTGCCCTGCCAAATCCCAAAATCTCTGTCACAACCAATCTATAAAGACAAAAGTGTGCTGCTGCACCCTTTCCTGCTCTAATACAACATTTCAAAAACTGAAAACAACAAATCTTTTCCGAAGCAAAAGATCAATTTTCTATTCAGCCTCTTACAGTGAAACCTTCTTCTATTTAATTTGGACTTTCAGTCAGCAGTTCTAAACATCAGACTGACTCCAGCACGAAGCAGACCAAAGTAATTACTTCCTTTAAGTCCCATACTAGACTCCAGTTACTGGCTGGAATTAATCTTGCTTTTCTATTCAACATTGTCATAGTATAATGTTACTGTAACCTACTATATCAATGGATCTCTTATCATAAACTGCTGCATAATCAACTAGATTTGATTTCTATAGAATATTCTCCATGTTTTACCTTGCACACAGAGATGAAATCACATTGCTTATAAAAAGAAGAAACAGACTGAAAATTATATTCTGGAGCTTCCTCCAGTTTTCTTTCACTCAATTTCTGGGGTTTATTTTTAAGTAATGAGTTAAATATTGCAATAAAGCTAATGCCAGATTTCATACCTAAGTTTTGTAGCTTTCTATGAAGGAATTCTATGTAATAAAACTTTCAGAAAAACTACATCTGTTTTATTGCACTTACAATTATCTGAAAGTCTGATAATTGTGTCCTGTCATCTGGGTAACACACAGAACGTATAGTTCATAATCTTAACTGAAGTGCCTAAAAGTCAGGCTTTCCTTTACACATTTGATTAAAAAGAAACGGTGAGCATATAATTTTATTCAGGTTAGTAGATGTTAAAAGAGTGTAAGTTCAAGAAACTGCTCTGAGTGTAAAAAAAATAAAAATAGGAGTTCCCATTTAGAAACAAAGTACTACTAAGTACAGAAAAAAACCACAGAAGTTAAAGACATCCCGACTGAAAAGCTCTTTGTATTTCTCAACAAATTTTAAACAGTTGAAGTGTTCCATTTTATTTGAAATTGCTTTGGCTCCAGGCTAAAAAACACATACTGAAGATAGATCACCACTGAATAATGGTGTCCTGTAAATTGAACTGGAAAGCTCCAAAGGACGAAGCTGTTTCTCCATACTGCATGGAATGAAAGGTTCACCATCTTCCTAACCACTACTACAACATTAGAGGAGCCAAAGTAAACAAAGACTTGATCTAGTAAAGCTGGTTTTCCTGACAGCAACCAAGAAAGACAAACCTACATATTCCAGATTTTCAATACTGTAATTTAACAAACAAGGAGACTTCATCCAGTCTCTCCAGCATAGTTTTTCTGATGGAAGTTCTGCAAACTTTATATTACAAACCAAGAAAAAGTTAAGTTACTATCACTATTCCTACCTGCTAGATTAAAAGTAGTTCACTTTCAAAACAAACAATAGCTTTCATCCCAAGTTCAGCACATAAACAATTACAGCTTCACAAAACATCATCAGGCAAAATTTCAACACTTACCAATACACACATCTATTTTCCCCTTGATAGCAGCCTCATGCAAAGGAGTGTAGTTCCAGTTGTCCCTAGCATTGGGGTCTGCCCCCTGACACAGCAGCAGACTGACCACTTCTGCGTGGCCAAAGGAGCAGGCGTTGTGCAGGGGTATCAGCCCTCCGTCGTCGCGAGCATGAACGTTGGCTCCTGTCTGCAGCAAGTGCTCTACAACATCCTTCCTTCCAAAACCTGCAACAGAACATATTTCTCTTCATTCGTCTGGCAGAACAACATGACTTAGATCCCAAAACTGCTCACTTGCAGCTCAGTGTACATTATTCATGTCCCTCATCCACTTCTTGGTTCATTCCACCATAAAGTCAGACTCTGTTCACCTGCTCAAACAACAGTGGGCCAAATCACTTACAGTCGTGACAGAAGGGAACTGTATTGTATCAGAACCTGCCACTCTATCTCATTAAGACATTCTACAAAGGCTGAGCATGCTGAATGATGAGAGGGATGCAAGGAAAGTAACAGGAGCACCAGCTGTACCTCTATTACATACCCCCACTAGGGTTTCCACTTTAAACCTCCCTTCAGTTAGTCAAAAGCTTTCATACAGTAATAGTTAACAGACAACCTAATTACTAATGTTCACAAAAGACACAATTCTTTGCCAAATTTTCAGAAAGTTTGGAAAAAACCTGACTTCCCTGAAGAGCTGGAAGAATGCTTTCCCTGGTGAATACAATACATCAACTAGTCAGTTTGATCAGTTTAAGTGCAGCTGAACTGTTTCACCCACCACCCAATTAATGATACTTTATCTCAAAATAGCAAGAACTCCTCCAAATGCCAATTCCAACCTCTGCAAAGCTGTTATGTGCACAGTTTAACTTATGACATAGAAGACTTATGATTCTCATTAGGTGGTTTTCCTCCTCCTTTCACCTCCTCGATTTAATAACAAGACTCCAAAAGGAATTAAATTTTACAAAAGCGTATAATCACAGGTTAAGCACACCTGTAGATATCACCAGGATCTTAAGCAAAGCTGTAAAGACGCTCTTATTAAATGCAATCCCACTTTTTAGAGCACTAAACACAGTTTATATGGGAACAGAAGCCCTTGAGGTAGAGGAGCACTCTTAGAGACATGACCTTTTCAAAACGGTTTTATGCTATAAGCAAAGGGAGAAAGAAATCCAAGCTAAGTCACTGTGTGTCACTGCTTTACTACAGCACACACCAGGATCAGGCTTTTTCCCTAAGACTTTCCCAAGCACTTCTCCCACTTCACTAGACAGAAAACAATTAAACTGAGTGATTTAAGTAAGTAAACTAAAAAGCCTTCAAGCTGGGAAAAAGTGCACGTGGTTCAGTATTACTGAAGGTCTAAGATTTTGCATTTATATCCTCTTGTAAATTCCTTCCAAAGAATTTTAAATGGGAAGGAGACACATTGCACAAAGTATTGGAAGATAATTCAAGAGAACAAGTTACTAGTCACAAAGAAAGCAAGTTGGAACTTTCTACTAAGTAATACACTTGTGACACTAACAGAGTTCACGTACCACAAATGCTGCCAAAAACATAAAAGAAAAAATTTCAAAGTCAAGGCCAGTAATTTATCGATTAATCTTTTTTTTTTTTTTTACATGAAAATGTGTGCATTTTGCAGGCTCTGAGGCTGTAAGATGCCAGGATGTTTCCTAATTGACTACATAATTTGTATTCTTCATTGTATCCATATGAATCCAGCTGAAAATTATTAACCCCATTTTAAGTCGCACAAGGCAGAACCAAACAGTGCCTTGGCTTTACAAACACCTGTGTGAGGTCAGACATCTCTCCTATGACAAGGACATAGGCGACACCTGCAACAAGTTGAGTCAGAGTAGTTTCAGAATGATGTCTCAAGCAAAGCTTTCCAGAGCAATATAATCTATTTTGCTCTACATTGCAGCACAGGTGGAGTGGTTGATTCCGGTGTCCCTGCACAGAGTGAAGTGTGTCATAAGTTATCAACTATCTCTTGCCATTTCCTGGCTCTCCCTCAAGGAACACTCAGTCACTACTTAGCTCTGCCTCTGCAGTTGCTTATCTTACTCATATATGTCAAAGCAGCTTGTATTTTTATGATTAACAGCTTGCTAGCTGACAAACCAGCTTGATCAGCTCTCAAAATCTGACCACAGCTCCTTCCCTACCCAAGTGAGACCCCTTTGCCTTCAGGATTAAAGCTGTAATACTCCAGAAATTTTCTAGAGCATAGCTATTTATGCTAGCCTTCCCAAAGTGATGAGACTTCCAACAGTTATTACTAGGGACATCAAAGGCATGCTTAGAAAAAAAACTGCCTTCTCCCAACAGCTTTTTGCCATTACTACACACATAAGCAGAAAGAAAACAAGCTCTGTCACTGATGCTTTAACAAGTCACCTTAAATCAGGTTTCTCAAGCCTGAGCTTCGATGAGACCAAGAACACTCCACTCTGTGATCCCAGCTCCATAACTTCCAAAAGCTCCTCCTGGAAGCTTCTACCTCTTCTTGGTACAGAAGCAGGCATTGAGCCACAGTTCAGCAATTATTATTAGTAGTTTCTATATCTCTGGGTAGAACACTAGAAAGAGAACACCTGTTCTGAGCTAAACAAATGTGTTGCACAAGAATGTGAGGAGCTAACTTCCTGATCAAAAATAAGTTTAACTTCCCCTTAAATGGGTGTGGAACTGGACAAGCTTATGACTGTGGCTATATGAAGAAATTGAGTAGGACTCAGCTTATTTTTACCAGGTCCATCCACCTAGTCACTTCTGACAGAGTCACTATTATTAATGATTTACCAGCAAGGACTAGGTCTAAAAACATATGAACCAAGGTGTCAGCAGGAAACACATACATATCCTTTTGCAGGGCTCAGCGTTGTTTCAGAAGGGACAAAGCAAGTCTGTTCCCAAGCTGGCTCTAGGAGAAAGCTCAGATTTCAGACAAACACTCACAAGTCCTCCCCATCCAGGTATATTAATGGCAGAAAAGTCACAGAAAATCAGCTTTGGCATGTAAGTGCTCTGCATGGAGGATGACACACACAGAGCCATGAATGCATCACTGTCAGCCTGCTTCAAACACAATGGACCAACACAGGCACTTCAACTCGCAAACCACGTAATGATGCACGGGGTATAGCTTAGGCTGAGAAGTAAAGGCACACCACATCCCAAACAAATTGTACCTAAAACGTGACACCTCATCACAGACTAAAATCACCCAACTATTAAAAAAAAGTCAATAGCGTTCCCAACAGGAAAAAAAAAACAAACTACCTCTCACATACATAGAGAAAAACCAAAGCATTTGGTTATGCTGGCAAAAGAGGTATTTTATCAACTATGTGTCAACAACACCAACAAATGCAGAATTGTCAGGCCAGTTTACAAGAATAGAAAACACTGTCATTACAAGTATTTTCAGCTACTGAGGGACATATAGTACAGTAAAGATGTTCTTATTTTGGTGAAATAAACAATGACAGTTAAGATCTTTCTCTAAGGAAAACAGGTAACATGTTTAGATCAAAGGAATGCAGTAGAAAGACAAGTGAGTGAAAAAGTTTGTCTCATTCGACCCAGTTTGAAGAAGAAAACTGCTAGCAGAATACAGAATATTCCAGTGAAGAAGGTGCAAAGTACAAGAGAAAACTAGTTACTTCTAGCACAAGTTAACAATTATTTCATGAACTCAATTATTTAATGAACTCCTTAGCACAGGATGACCCTCCAATAACATTTAAAAACTGGGTTTTGTTCAGACAATTGCTAAGCTACAAACTGCAAGGAGAGTACTCAGAGAAGTATCATATGAAGATGGTAAGTGTATGACTCTTCCCCAGGTATCCACTTTCGGCAACCAGTATGGATAAAAAGCCAAACATACCTTTGTCCATGCTTAACATAGTTGCTTTTTAAATTTTTTTAGCAAGCTAGTTTCTATTGAAATAAACTGAATGTAAAAGCTATGCATACATTAATATCTCCACTTAATTTCTTTTTTTTTGTTTTAAAGTCACTTAATCACTTTCAAGTCTTTAAAACCTGCTTTTTGGGTGCTGCTGGACAATATCCAAAGCCTGCACTGGTACCAGACACAAATATCCTGCAATCCATACAGCAGTTGAGACAGTACTGAGTTTTCCTCTTTCCAAGTAAGGAGGATGAAAGGAAAATTATGCTTTGCTCAACCTTTTCCTGCTTGCAAGAGAGGCCTCTATAACTGTGATATAGCCTTATTTTCTCCTTTATTAATAGCTAAGCAAAACAGGTCAGATTTATTCAGCACACTACTTCATACTTCAACACAGAGCTGAAGAACCACTTCCCCTTTATTCAGTTCAATTGGTACTTCAGGTATTCCAAACAGAGAAAATGTGGATAAAACTGTTGCTCCAATTTGATGTGGCCATGCACAATTTACCTGGAAGTGAATAATGGACAGGTGACTTCAACTCCTAGAAACAGATTCAGACCTATCCCCGGCTTTTAAAATAACTGGTAACAGATTTCAGTTCTCGTCTTACCTCCAGCTTACACCTATGCCAAGCATTCTGAGTGCTCTCAGAAGTCCCTCTTTTTATAGTCCTGCCACAAGAAAGGACAAAGATGATTTTCAAATCAGAAACCTTACAAAGCCTAAGGAAACCCAAACTTAGTACTTTTTACAAGGAACTGTAAGTGGGGAAGTTATCCTTCCCTATTACAGTAAAAGAACTTAACTGCGTGGCATTGCTGCCAAGAAAGACATCTGAAAAAACAGCTGAGAAGTCAAGTACCCAGTGGGAGGGGGAAGGAAAAATAAATAAATAAAATTCAGTCCCAAAACCGGGAAATTATGAAGAAATTAGAAGAAGAATTCCTCTTTCACAAATCACAACATCCGAAGTGAAACTCTATTCATCTAAGAGTTTAGCTTCAAGAAGTTTGAAAAAAGCAGTTTAAAACACGACATCCTGCACTCTCATCCACCCATTCCCCTACTGACGGCCATACAATTCACACCTAGGTATGGCTCATAAACATGGGCTATTATCCAAAACACAGCTTCCTATACACAACAGACTGCTATGGTCATAAGCAAACAAGTTTTATTTTACCTTTGGCCCACAAAGGAGATCAAATCAACACACTGCATCACCGGCAGGTATACACTGCTTAAGATCAGCTGCATTCAAACAACATGCTTGCTTACAGGCCTTTCCAAAACACAGGATGTCAAGATCTTTGTAATAAGAAATCTGCCTAATGCTCTTACATGTCTAATCCACTGGCACCAGACAGGCAGCAATTTGAGATAAAATAGGAATGGTATCTAAGGAAAGTATTTAAATCTAGAAAAATAGATATGGGAATTTGTTAGGTACAACAACTTAATCTGCTATTTTCCTCATGCTACGATGAATTACCTTCCACTGCTATTACAGTAACATCTTAATGACATTATCAACTTCCAAAACCTTACCCCCTCAAGTAAGTTTTGTCCATTTCTTCTCTAATCAGAGCGCACATTACCTGCTGCAGCTTCAGCACTACAGTTTGTACAGGCACTGAAGTTACAACCTGAGATCTCAGAATTTTAGGGGAAGCAGCAAGATCTAACTTTAAGTCTGAAGCCAAAATTAGCAGAGCAGACTCAAGCCTCCCAAAACATTAAGAACTTCATAAGCACACATGCAGCTGGTACCATCATTATGTTCAGGGTTCACCAAAATTAAGTCCATCTCCATACCCCAGAACTTTGCTGTGTTTTAAACTCCACTTGCTTAAGCCCCGTTTCCCAGTAGAGCTCAGGGACCAGAGTCGAAAGAAAAGGAAACAGCTCAGGACCAAAAGTTCCCTTAGGGGCATTGTCAAATGCCTCTTGCACTTTGAAAATGAAAACAAATCCATACAATCTCAGGGTGTGTTACCTAACTGATAAATTGTACAGCACTATTCAGAGTGCCAGGCAATATTGTGCCGTAAAATGTTCATTCTGCTACTGATTTAAACAGTGATTTAGAGCCACACACCAGCATTTAAACACTGATAACTTGATACAGACTTATTAATTATCTTAATTTACTAGACTTGTGTGCTTCACTATGTAAGGTCCAGGTCTGTAACACTGTGGCACACCTCAGAGAGCTCTCAGACTGACCACAGACCTAGCAATTGCACAAGCCCTGAGTTAGGAGTAATGATTTAAAAGACTTTCTTCATTTTAGTTTTATCATTAATTTTGTGTGCCTTGTGCCCCCAGTAAAGAATACAGCCTGTAAGAAATAGTCTTTTTATTAACTGCAGTAATCTGTTACAGTTCTGTCTGCCAAAAAGTAGTATTTACTTCCAGTTAGTCTACATTGTTAGACCTTACTGCTAAATTGCTTTTATAACACCAGTTCTGATCACAGTGACATGTCTTCTCTGCACAAAGAGGTGTATTCTTTCCTGGGTGCATGTGTAACTTCTACAGTTCACTTTTCCACTTGATCCCTTTCCCCAGCCTACTCAGACCACAAGAGATGCAGACATCAACCAGCAACCATGCCGAAACGAAAGAAGTTACAAAGTACAAGGCACCAAAACTGATTCCCATGAAGTGCATGTGCATCACAGGAGTCCCCGAGCTGTTACAACACAGGGGAAACCCTTACTTCAAGTCAACCCTGTTCTGAATTTCAGTTTCTTGCTTCCCGAGTCCACTGCACAAGTTTGCAGCAGCCCATGGATATCAAACACAGAGATCACTGTCCATACTTTTAGATCTTACAGTCTCTTTACTCTCCCGGGATCTCCTCTCCCACCCGCCTCACCCAGAGAAAGGGGATTTAACAGCCATCTCCCAACACCCTGTACGAAACGCCGCCGGGGAACAGAGTGTGCTCACACTCTTCCAGCTCAGGACTGCCCACTCCCGCATCACCGGGGCGCTGGAGGCCCCCTGCGCGAAGCTATTCCAGGGGAACCCGGCCGGTCCCGCCGGCTGTCACTGCCCCGGCCGGGCACGGGAGGCCCCGGTACCCACCGGCGGCGAAGTGCAGCGGCGTGGACTTGCGCCCCGCCATGTCCTTGGCGTTCACGTTGCCCGTGTCCACCAGGCGCTTCACGCGCGTCACGTCCCCATTCCTGCAGGCCTCCAGCAGCTCGCGGAACGCCCCGCTCGCCGCGCCCGGCCCCGCCGCTTCGGGGCTCTCCGCCGCCGGGCTCGACGCCGCCGACGACGACGCGGACGAGGACGACGACGACGAGGAAGAGCCGCTGGAGCTGCTGCCCGAGCCCGGCGGCGGGGCCGGCGCGGCGGCGCCCGAGCCCTCCCCGCACTCAGGGGACGGGGCGGGCACCGGGAGGGGCCGCGGGCGGGGCCGCGGGTGGAGCCGGCACCGCCCGGGAACCGCGTCCCTTCCGCGGCTGCCGGTGCCGGGAGAGGGGCGGGACGGCACCTCCTCAGGCGTGACCTCGGAGGGGAGGGAGGGGGCGGTGTTCCCCGGCGGAGCCCGCTGTAGGGGCGAGGCAGCCTTCTTCCGCCTCCCCGGCGCGGTCCGGCTGCGACTCCAGAACCTGGGCAGCTGTCTCTCTGCCACCGTTCGTGCCCCAACTCCAGAAGGACTTTGCGAGCTAATTGCAACGCCCCCTTGTCAGATCCAAGCTTTGCGAGGTACTTACGAGGCATCGGTGTGAACTTGTTCAGCTCAGCGCCGGCTTTCCACAGAGTGTTTCACCGTCCAGGTGCTTTTGTGGCATCAGTGGCAAACAAATCACATTCCTTTACTGGTCACGCCAGAGGTGGCTACCCATGGGTAGCCAGCGCTTGGCCCGGCACTCACCTCCCTTCCCCGGCAGGCGATCCAGCCGGCAGCGTGGCTCCATAGAATCACGGAATTGTAGAATGTTATGGGCTTGGACTGGACCTTAAAGATCATCTAGTCCCGACATGCCCTGGCACAGGCAGGGAACACCTCCCTCTAGACCCGGCCATTCAAGGCTTTATCCAGCCTGGCTTTGAACACTGCTTCATTCCAGTACAGCTCCTTTCCTAAAGCCAGGAAATGATGGAGTGAGACCAGGAGAGAAAGCTGATGGAGAAACTTAAGTGGAGCCTGGCAGTTCTTTAAAAGTTGATTAGCTAAGCTGAAAGGCCACTTCTTCACTCATTCCAGGGAGGAAAGCAGCGCTGGCATGGAGCCCGTTGGCCAGAGCAAAGCAGTCACTAAAAAGCTGAAAGGCCACTTCTTCACTCATTCCAGGGAGGAAAGCAGCGCTGGCATGGAGCCATTGGCCAGAGCAAGGCAGTCACTAAAAAACCACATGGTGGAGAGAGGCCAAGTGGGGAACACTCCGTCTGCTCAGAAACAACAGAGTGTGGAGAGGTGGAATAGGAAGCTGGGGCAGCCAGGCAAAAGGTTACCCAGGGCATCCAGTGCTAAAAGGTAGGGAAGAGAAATCTAGGGATATCAGGGACCAAAGCACACCCTCTGTAAGAATGAGCAGATCTGAACAGCATAAGCAGAAGCATTTAAATAAGGATTTTCATTTGGCTTTGGAAAGCAGAAGAAAGCTGAGATCACTATTCTCCTGGCTTTCTGATATCTAGGGAGGATATAAACACCAATTACGGTTTAAGTCAGAAAGCTCCAGTAGGTATTACTGAGAGATCACTTACCTTAACCTTAATCTGTGAGAAAAGGGAGATTCCATTGACGAGAATAATATCAAGAGCAACAATTTCTGGAAAACTCTCAGTACACCTGGTGGGGAAGCAGCCACAGGTCAGAGAATAGGAAGAGTGACGAGCAATTCCTGTTAAAAGGACTGAATATGGCCAAGGGCAGCCAGCCTTATCCTAGCAAATACATCTGCCTTAGCTGCTGGTAGCAGAAGGGCTTTAGGAAGTGTTTGCATAGCACCATGTGATGTGCTGAAGAAGCACTGACAGGTCTAGTGCTGGGAGCACAGAAAGTAGGAATTCAGAAGAACTTGGAATCTGGTTTAGTGCTACTAAGTACCTTTCTGATGGTAATAAGAAGGGAGGCACTAAATCAGTCCCCATGACTAGTGGAGAAGTAAATGAAGATCCATTTGAACGTGCCCAGCTCAATTCTTGTTTGTGCCGTGACTTAGAAGGCCTGGGCCTTGACCAGGCACTGAGAGAGCTGAGAGAGCTCAGCAAGACCCTGGCACATGTCCTGAATATGGACAGCTGCTGCCTTTCATTTCAAAATTCCAAAAGGACTTTGCAAGCTGATTGCAACATCCCCCTTTGTCAGAACCAAGCTTTGTAAGATATTTAAGAGGCCAGAGCATCAGTATGCACTTGTTAGCTCACCACTGGCTTCCCACAGTTTATATGTCACCTTCCAACAGCTTTTGTGGCATCAGTGGCAAAAAAAACCTCATATTCCTTTGCTCTCTCTGTATTTCCCATAAGCCAAGACATCACTTTTATGAAATGTATTGGTGTGCAAACACTTATTCTACTTCCTGAAAGAATTTTAAAAATACAAGTAATATTTTGTTTTAATTGGACATCCATGGTGGCCTTAAAATGTAATTGTTGGTTGTAGGATTGAGTAAGGAATGCTATACTCTGGGTCCACCTTCAAAAGAAGGCCAGAGAGGTATTGGTGGATGAAAAATGGGACATGAGCCAGCAATGTGCACTCACAGCCTAGAAAGCCAGTGGTGTATTGGGCTGCATGAAATGAAGCATGGCCAGCAGGTCAAGGGAGATTCTTCCCTTTAATCCTCTCATGTGAGACCCCACCTGGAGTACTACATCCAGCTCTGGGGTCCTCTAGAACTGTTGAAGCAGGTCCAGACAAGGGCTACAGAGATGATCAGAGGGTTGAAGCACCTCTCCTATTAAGACAGACTGAGATAGCTGGGTTGTTCAGCCTGGAGATGAGGAGCCTCCAGGGAGGCCTCATTGTCTTTCCACTACTTAAAGTAGGTTTATAAGTAAAAGGGGAAAAGGACTTTAACACAGGCAGTGACAGAACAAGGGGGAACAGTTTTAAACTAAAGAGGAGAGATTTAGATTAGATGTTAGGAATAAATTCTTTATCATGAGGGTGGCGAGGCACTTGAACAGGTTCCCCAGAGGAGTTATGGATGAACTCTTCCAGAATTGTTCAAGGCCAGGTGAGCTGGGGCTTTGAGCAACCTGATCTAGTTGAAGATGTCCCTGCCCAAGGCAAGGGGGTTGGATTTGATCTTCTTTAAAGGTTCCTTCCAGCGCAAACCTTCCTGTGATTCTATGAAAGGAATTCCTGTGCCTAGGAAGAAACAAGCAAAGCAATTAGGATTCACAGTATGAGACCTACCTATGGGGAAATGGGGCCTGGTCATGGGTTACATAGGGCAGTTCTGGGGATGCACCTCCTCTTCAGACTCCCACATTTGGGTGGGGGTCCTTATCCTATTGCATTCCCAAATTTCTCCTTAGTCTTCCTGCCCCACAAATACAGCCCCACTGCTCCCCTACAACCCTAGGGTTGAGGCAAACAGCAGTGCTGTTCATCCCAGTCCTTCTCTTTCCCCTGCCCAAAGCATGTCCAGGATCCCTTCAAGTGCTGCCATCACCATTTGTATGTGGTTTGTTAAGCCTTGGGGTAGATTCATAGCACTCCTGCAGAAATGGTGGGCAATATAATGTGGAGAATACAGTTCTGAGCAAAATGTTATCTTCACAGGATTTCTACTTGAGGTTGGGGAGGAACATGTGGAGGATCTTTGAAAGCAGTCAGTCAACCCATTGCTTGTTCCCCAGCCAGCAACTGAGCCCTTGGAAACAGGACTTCTTGAATTGGTGCCAAAGCAGGACCCTGGGGTTTTTAACAAGAGGGCTGTGTGTCTGGTGGTGCAGAGGGCATGCAGGCTCCCAAGGGCCTGCCAGCCTCACTCACTGCTCCTACCAGAGCCTGTGAGCTCTGCTCTGGCCCACAGCACACCCTGCATCCACCTACCACAGCATCTCCGTGCCTCTGTTGGGCTGATTTAAGTTCATATCCTGTCACAAGCAGCTGGTTACATTTGCACCTCTTGTCCTGCAAGGGCCTAAAATACTGTTGATTACTCAGTGGCTTTTGCCTGACCCGGGAAGAAGGTGCTTTACATAGAAATCTTATTAATGATGCAGGTGCAGGGCTCAGTAAAGTGGAAGCACTTCAGATTTCATCTGAATAATTAAATTCCATCAATAGGATTTTGCAGGACTAGTATTTAAAATTAATAACTGCAAATGCAATTCCGATATATAATGGAACCCACTGAAATGGGATTTTTTTTTATAAAATGCTTTATAGATTTCCTGGCAATTTTACAGCCACCTGGCTGTAAGTCCCAGCTGATCCTGAGCAGCAAGAGAGGGATTTGATGTGGTTTCTGAATATTTTTAACCTCCAAAAACTAGGAAATGGCTCCAAAATCAGCATCCAGCATGCTGATGCTCATGTTTAATGGACCTCTAGTAAGCTGATGAGTAAATTGAGAGGAAATGAGGAAGTCATGTTTGAAAAATATGTCTCCTCTACCTAAGAAATTGGGAAGATAAAGGATCATCTAGATCTGTACCAAAAGCCACATTTTCTGAGAAATAAAATCTTCCTTTTCCCCAGAAACTCCCTGTCTCATTCACTACTGGCAGCTTTGACTGTGGTGAATGTGTTGAAAAAGCCAAGAGAAACCATCCCTGGTGACACCATCACAGATTTGCACACTTGTGCAGGCATAATGGGATAAAGTGTAAGGTTCATAGGAAAGCACCAGAGCTTTCCTCTCTGGAGAACCATCCATCTGGGGATGTCTTTGTGTTAGCATGCTGTTCATCACAATCTTCCTTTTCCCCAGAAACTGCCTGTCTCATTCACTACTGGCAGCTTTGACTGTGGTGAATGTGTTGAAAAAGCCAAGAGAAACCATCCCTGGTGACACCATCACAGATTTGCACACTCGTGCAGGCATAATGGGATAAAGTGTAAGGTTCATAGGAAAGCACCAGAGCTTTCCTCTTTGGAGAACCATCCATCTGGGATGTCTTTGTGTCAGCATGCTGTTCATCATGTTTCTTCTGCCATAGCTTCATTCATCACCTACAGGAGCTTATCAAAGTTTGAATAGTGCTGCATGACTTCTCCCTCTCAATGGCGAGGAATTCAGCTCCGGCTTCTTTGCATATTTTGATAGGAAGGTTGACAGTCAAAACTTTCCCTGTTTAGTGAAAAAAAAAACTTACCCTGTCTGTCCTTGCATGCTGCCAGAAAGATATGTTTAATACAGACTATGACCTCTAATAGCAGGCAGATGGTGATAAGCATTTCTCTCCCTGTTTTTTTTCAGCTGGATAAGCCAAGCAGCTGCTTTGAGCATCCCCAGTGGAGGAGCTCCTCCAGTTTTCCCATGAGAAACAAGAGGATAATGCAGTGGAAGCCTTTTGAGTTCACTTGCTGCAGGTCATATAGCAGCTGGAAGCCTGCCCTGGCCTCAGAGAGGATCTGCAGTGCCCACAGGAATCATGGGGTGGGTGGCAATAATGATGCTGCTTTTGCTGTCTTTACCTGCACAAGGCACGGGAAAGAAGAAAATTTGCTGCAAATTTGAAGCCAGGGTCAGTTTTCCCTGCAGAGATCTTTTGTTTCTAGAAGCACCATCTTGATTTTAAAATGTAATTTTGATAGCAAGAGGTTGGGTGGTCTTGCATGTAGAGGGCTGGAAATTAAACTATCAACCTGGTTTCATTTCAACAGCAGCTGTTGGGCAAGAGGGTGGGAGAAGAGAAGGACTCTCTCCCCAGAAGGACATGAATGTGCCACTTTAGAAATGAGAAAGGAGAGTGCTCCTTTTGGAGCACAGAGGAGGGCTACTTCCCATGTGACCTTCACAAAAGCAAAGACACAAAAACTAGGTTAGCCCAACTAAAAGATGTATTGATCCACTGCAGGGATAGTCTGAAAATAAATGAGTACAAGCTTGGAAACTACTTTGAGATGGGCACAATTTAGCAGGAGGTCATTAAGTATTTCTGTTTCCCTGGACCAGGATCTGGAAGAATTTTATCCCCAGGTTTAGGACCTCTCAGCAGATCCTCATGGATCATGAGTATCCCTGCATACCTGTTCTCCAGCAGAAGTCAGGCAGTGGCCCTAGAGCCAATACATGAGCCCAGCTCTCAGAACTGCCTCTGCTGGCTTTGGGCAGCTCCTGAATTCTACTTGGAGATGAGTTTTACCTTCATACAGCCACACTTTCTCTCAGCATGGACTTCCTCCCTGTCCTTTGTGTCCTCTGTCTGGCTTTACCAGCCAACACAGGAAGATTTTCCCTACACAGAATGATGTCATTCTCAGGCATTTAGCAGAAACCTGGTGAAGGTTTCCTAGAACTCAGAGGGCCTGAAAAATTCTTTTATCCCTGCTTGTCTGCTAATGATAGGAGACACAGAAACTGAATCTGAGCCTTTGCAATCTTGCAGTTTTAGTAATTTGTAAATTTAATAATTTAGGGCAGTGACTATGGCTCCACACAAAGTTGATTAGGCTCTCTTCTCCTCTCCAGGCACGGATAGATACACAGGGCCACTCAAAAAGAAAGGTGTCATTCTTGTGAGGGCTTTCCACAATATGGAACACAATAAAGGTTGTGAACCTGGTTGCCCTGTGGACTACATTTCATTGCAAATTTTTTTTTTTTTTCTTTTCATGGGTCTGAAGTAATAGCTTATAGCATGCTTTAATGGTAACTGTTACAAGGTGAAAGGTTACTTCCACGGTGAAAGGAAGCACCAAAGCCCCCAAGGCACGCTGGAGTGTCCAGTGCTGAACAAAGCCAATGACGTTTTAAAATCTGAACCTTTGGCCACGGTGCATGGCTGACATTTGTACGGGTAAGGTCAAACATCTCGGGAAAACTGAGCGCCCACAGCCCCCGTCACCCTGATTCCCGGCCACGCTGTAAAGGGGCTCTCTTCCCCCTCGATAGCAGAGTGGAAATTTCCACGCCTATTTTTCCGACCCCCTGGAGCAAAGCTTGACTGAGGAACCTGAAGAAGGCCGTGTTTAGGATCTGGCCAGATGGATGCAGCGCAGGAAACAAAGCGCGGCAGGAAGGTGGCAGAGTTGCTCCGATTAACCAGAGGGCTGCAGGCTTTCGCACTCCCTCAACACAGAAGAACATTTACTGAATGGGAAGAAAGGTTAACCTCGGTTTCTTGCAGGGCTGGATGAAAAATCAGCCCTTGCCTCGAGAAAAAATGACAAGGGCAACACAACAGCTTTTGCCGTAACTCCGTGGTGAGTCGGGCGGCAGGGCGAGAGCCGGGGCGGCGGCTGTCACACACCGGGGTCCCGGCGAAGCGCTGGCACCGCCACCGCTGCTGCCCCACGGCCTCCGGGGCCAGGCGGGCTCACCCCACCGGGCACCCCAAGGGCCGCTCTCTCGGGCTTTGCCGGGGTAGGATCCGCAGACCGGGAGTGTCAGGCCAGCAGGCGGACCCTTCCTTCCCGGGGAGGAAGGGCTGGTGTCCCCCACAGAAGCAAGGCCGGCTCTCCCTGGCGCGGGGGCGGCGCGGCGCTGCCGGGGCCGGGCCGTGACCGCGTCCCGCCCCCGGCGGGGCGGTGGCAGCGGCGGCG